AAAAAAAGGAAAAGAAAAAAGAAAAAGGAAAAAGAAAAAGAAAAATAGATTTTCGGTCATCCATGGATCGTGTTTCATCTGGTAGCCCAGATTTATATAGGATCTTTAGACGCCTTTAATTGGATGCTAGGCTCGGCCCATGGGCCTTATCTTGTAGGGGCCGAGCCGGCCAATGAGCCGTAGTAGTTTTTTTGTTAAATAATTTAATTTAGATTAAATTTATTTTTAAAAAGAAATACAATATGAAATAACCGTCACTAAGGCATAAAACAAAATTTACATAAATCCGATGTAAAAAGCCTATGGGCCCGTGAAGCGAGTGCCAGCATCATCCCAAGTATGGTTCGACTACACAAGCTAAAAATCTAGCTCGACTCTATCCTTAGCTCATTTTAATGCAAGCTCAAACCGCTTATCAGTTGAACTCTCGCATTTTTAATCATTAAATGATTAGTAAACAAATGGAGAAGAGATTTTATTGTACACTTGAGCTTATTAATCTAAGGTACCATAGCTTAGACTAAGTTCGGTAAAGTTTATTTATTTATTTATTTTTAAAGTGGTTTAAACTTCATTTTTATTCACTTTTGACCACATATTTCATAATATACACCAACTTATATGCCCTATTTGGTAGGGAAATTAAGATTATAATTTAAGTTAAAGTCGATACTTATTTTTAATCACATATTTTATTGGATCCACAACGTTTCGTTGATATATTTCATCAACTTTTATTATTATCTACTAAAAATCTGATTTTAATGCCGAACATAATCCACAAAGCTCTATCAGGCATAGTGGAGAGGGTTAAACTGGTAGTACAGGGCCAATGTACAACCAGCATGATCCTAGCTTGAATAATTTTATTTAACTATAGAGAAATAATTGCCCTACAATCTCCTCAAAATTGATTATTTTGCTTTACTTATTTGACTGATATAGTTTGTGATTACAGTGATATTGGCCTGCAGCAGGACAACGTATTTTTTCTACACTTACTATGTACTCAAAACTGTCATTTCCATGGTTACTGAAGGAAGTGTACAGTTTCTTGCTCTTGCATATGTGGTATGTTCTTTTCGCTTCCTCAAATAAATTCTGTCAATGATTTATACCTAAGAAAAACCAATTAATTTAAAAATATTTTCTGTTTGATTACAGGCTGATAATGTTCCTGAAAGCAGAAGGGTTTCAGTATTTGGAATAATGTCTGGCATTGCATCTGCTTCTTTCGTCTTTGGGAATTTCTCTACCCGTTTCCTCTCCACTTCTGCTACTTTTCAAGTAAGTATAAACTGCCATAAAGATGGGCTTATTTTTCCATTTTTTATGTGCCAAATTATAGGCCACGAGAGTATAGTTAGATTTGTTAATTTTCTAATGTCTCTATTTGATGTCTCTTGTTATTATCAAATATGAACTACCTAAGGGCGTATTAGAAAAAAATGTAAGTTAAATTTATACTTGAATGTGATGGAGGGAGTATTATTCCGATTTGAGATTTCATCTCAAAAGACTAGTCCTATTTAAAGGACTGGGATTTATCCCTTAACATCATACCCTATAAGATGGTGTCTGGTTTAAGAACACCAATCTTGAAGTCTGATGGCTCTTTTGAGCTTCTAGACCGATTAAATGGCTCGTCGAGCATTATGGGCTATGATAGTCTCTATGTTAAAAGGTGTAGGAGTAAATCAAATCCTTATTTAATCATATCTTTCATCTTCAAGAATTTAAGCAGACATTGGATTATTCCTCAAACTATATAAATATATAGGTACACACCATCGTATCCTATTGTATTGTTCAAACAATACTGATATCATGTTTTTAAATAAGGGTGGTCTAGAAATTTTGCCTTATTATTTAACAATTATGACAAATCTCAGTGATATTTTATAAATACTGCTGTTAAAGTCTGTTAACCGCCAATGATCTTTAAAAGCAACTTTGGAGATGTTGGAGTGTGCTCGTAATTGTAAAAATGGAACTGGGTATTTCCCAGGATACTGCGATGCCTATGTCGGTGAAATGACTATATAATTTGTATAGAGAGAAATAATTGACCAGATAACTTAAGAACATGCATTTGGTATGTAAATTAGATGTAGTGGAAAAGTTGGTAGGAGGCCATTTATAGTCACTTGAGGTGCGTGTGATAGAGTCGTGTTTGGACTGGACAGAAGAAGTTCTATTAGAACTTGGATATTTTTTCTCCTTATATGGGCAGGGATGGGCCATTTATAGTCACTTGAGGTGCGTGTGATAGAGTCGTGTTTGGACTGGACAGAAGAAGTTCTACTAGAACTTGGCCGATTTTTTCTCCTTATATGGGCAAGGATGGGGTTTTATTCCCTCATCTCTTAATTTGACAGTCTATTTTTGTATTTGAAGAGGACGCTATGATAATTAATTTGTATTCATAAAAATAAATAAAATCAAGTTATAGGGTCACATAAAGATTCCCTTTTTCATGTACCTCTTTATATGTTGGCTGTGTATAGGTTGCTGCATCGATGGCAGTGATATCACTGGTGTATATGAGAGTGTTCCTTCCCGAGTCGATTATGAACAACAGAATTTGTGCAAAGAATACAGAGACTACTTGTCTTTTGGAAAAAGCTACCACAAAAAAGTGGCAGCTATTCAAGAATCTGCCTTCAGTGGATGATACCATTTGCTTGCTAAGGACTAGGTTAGCCAAATTTACTCATGCTAAAGATTGGATCTGTTTTCGTAATTGATTCCTTTTGAAGGATTTTCAGGTGTGTCAATGGCTTTTGTCCAAAAAATTGTCCAATACCTAAATACCCTTATGGACTGGCACAAGGGTGTTGACACTGATGGTTTATACCTAAAATCCTTGATGGGTTGGCGGGGGTGTTGACAGGGGGTGGAGGGTGGTTCAGATTTCCTAATTAAAGAAATAATTGAAAATTGAAACTACAAGTACAAAAATGAGTTACACCCTCATTAAAGACAGGTAACATTCAATTCAACATTTTATTAGTTCAATTTGGATAATATCATAAATATATAATATGGTGGGGGATATTGGTGGAAGAAAATTTTTTAAATGTAAAAATTGGGAAAAAGTTTTGAACTTGAACAAGAGAAAGAAATTTGATTGTCAATGAGAGATGATTCATTATATTCATTTTGATATTTTTGTATCTTGTTCATTATCATTATGCAGCTCCACATTTTCAAAAGCAGCTGCTGTTGCATTCTTCATCACTGTTGCAGATGTTGGTGTTGGTGCTTCTTTAAATGTATGTTTCTTTCATTCTTTTCCATGAATTTCAAAGTTGTTTAATGCTTGAGACTAGACAAAATGCAAACAACAGTACCTTTGCAGCCATATGATATTGGAATAGTTCAAAGCTTAGAAATAATTTGATCATCTTAGAAATGAAAGATGTCATATGTCTCCACTCTGAGCGATTACTGATAATTTGTCAATGGTTGTCTTATTTTGAAGTCTGAATTGCCTGATTTTTAAGTGTTGCACTTACGGAAAGGTTTTACAAATTCTGTATTCAGTTGTCTAGGTCAGGATAGTATTCTTTTTTGGAGATTAGAAATGGATTTGTAATGGCCTGTTTTTCGTTTAACCACTACACAGTACTACTTGAAGGCTCAGTTTCACTTCAACAAAGATGAATTCGCTGATCTAATGATAATTGCTGGGATAGCAGGGTCAATTTCACAGGTAATTAGCCTTCCCATGCAGTAGTATGAGATGTTATGTATGTATATTCAAGTTCTTATACATATTTGGCTTTTGTGTTCGGTTTTGAACTCTTGCAGCTGATTCTCATGCCCATATTAACTCCTCTATTGGGAGAAGAGAAGATGCTTTCAATAGGGCTCTTTTTTAGCTGTGCTAATGTAAGTACATTACCATTTCCTAATAAAGGTTACACGTTGTATGTTGGATTTTTATATACTTTTGCCCTCGAACGTGGATCGGCCTAATATTCCTATTATATATAAAAGGGTTTTTTTGGGGCTTTTCGTGTAGACAAGACAGAGAGGCGTGTTAAAACATTTGTAATCTCCTTCATTATAGTGAAAAATATTAAGCAGCAAGTGAATGTAGCTATCACATCGAGGGTAAACTGCTATAAATTTATGTGTTATTTCTCTGATTTTTTTTTCATTATTGCTCTGGGAGTTGGGTATGAAGATTTAATCCATAAACTTGTAGTACTATTGCATAACTTTTGATGAACTATTCTGATACTTTCAATGCAGATGGTTCTTTACAGCACGGCATGGGCACCCTGGGTATGTTCTTACTCGACCACTCCTTCGAATTTCAATAAATTTTGTTATTCACATTATGCTATCTCATCTACACAAATCATGTAAATTTCGAGAGTCAAGACCATCGCTGGCCACCCCTGTTTCGAACGCTAGCCTCTCTTCTTCTCTAGAGAAGCAAATATCAAATGGAACATTCTGTAATGCTGCTGATTCTAAATCTGCAGGTTACTTATGCTGCTGCCATGATCTCTGTTGTGGCTACTTTCGCAATGCCATGTGTAAGTTCTTTGTTTCTTGTAGCACAGATCTTCGGCATGGATTTAAACATTAATTTTAATCGTGCATTGCATTTTGCAGTTAAGGAGCATTGCTTCCAAACAAGTTGGACCCAATGAACAGGTGAATTTGGAAATATGACTATTATGTTATCTTGATGTGCTATGCTTTATGGTTCTGAGTGTTGCACTGGTAAATGACAAAATTGTCCATAAAATGATCAACGTAGCAGAAATGAGGTTGCTAAGATGTGTGTGGTCATATTAAAATAGATTATTGAAAAATATATGCCATTAAATACAGGTAGTGTAGATTGACGATAAATTAAGGGAAGCATGAGTTAAGTAGCTGGGGACATGTTTTATGCTAACCTAAAGTGTCACTACCACACCTGTTATGCAAGTGACATGATTTCCGTACAACAAGTCAGAAGATGGAAGAGTGAATACAATCAAACATGGCTCGTTGCAGATGCTGTATATCTTGTTGCTTTAGATTTTCTAGTAGATCTAGCAATGAATTGATTGAAGTGCGGACTCATTGGATGACCCAAATTTATCGAGAATAAGGCTTAATTTGTCATTGTATTATTGAATACACAGCAATTATTACTTTTGAATTGCGGTTTAAACTTCTTCTTTAGACCTTTCAGAGGGTTCTGATTTTGACTTTTTTTTTTTTCCTCCTTTCAGGGAAAGGCTCAAGGGTGCATTACAGGCATCTGTTCCTTTGCTAACATTGTGTCTCCACTTGCTTTCAGCCCTTTAACAGGTAAGAAGAACCATTATTTTCCAAAATCAATCAAAGCCTTGAACTCATTTTAATCTGGTAACCTTCTTGTTTTAATTAATTTTTTTTTTTCCAGCTTTGTTTCTGTCAGATAGTGCACCATTTCATTTTCCAGGATTCAGTATTATGTGCTCTGGCTTTGCTGCGGTAAGTGCTTCTTCCTGCAGATACTCAGCTCTGGATTATTTCTGTTACTTCTTTTATTACATATATGGCATGTTTAGTACCCCCAATAGTGGACGGTATTGCACACAATAAGAGGCAAGATTTAATTTGGTATTCTTCACCACTTTATATATTAGTGTTGAATCCAGCATAATGAACATGCAGGATGTGCATGTTTTGATACATAGAGTTAGATGGTATTGGACCTTACAATAAACAAAAATTTAAGACTATTTTTCTTCTTTAATATAGTCCAGCACTGTCTATTCTACCTTACCAAACATTCTAGAAGGTAGTTTCATTCTCCAAGAGAACAAATTGCAATGGAGAATCATGGAATAGAACTCAATTTCTTCCTCGATTTTAATCAATGATCGAGTATAGTCCATGCTCTTTATGCATTTTAACAAAGGGGAAATCTACTTCACATTTCGACTGGATTAATCTTGATAATGGAATAGTTCAGTTGTTGTTCTTTCATTCTAGTTGTGAAACTGTATGCTTTGTTCCACCGTTTTACGCTCGGTTCCTTTATGAGAAAGTCCTTGAGAGGGTTTGTTGATCCATGATATGCTTTCATATGATTTTTGATTAATTTTTTTATAAATTTGATAATCAAATGAAGGAGAAAATATCAATAAATTTCCAGAACAGGGTTTCACCTAAAAAATGTGCTGGGCCACCTGGCACATTACAATAGAACAGGGTTTTTTAAATGAACAGGGTTTCATTTAAAAACGATAGAACCTCGTTGAAAACTTATTATGCTGGTCCAGGCAGACCTGTATGTAAAAGGGCAAAAAAGAAAAGAATAGTTATGCAAAAAAGTAAAAGTCAATCAGCATGCCCCACACTGCCCAAATAATTTTAATAGCTCGGTATGCCTAAACAACTGGGGGCTGGCCATCTTCTGAGCCCAACTCAATTTACACCTCTAGTTGTAAGTTATTGGGGAGAAGTGCGTGCGGGTTAGGTAAAATTTTGATGCATGAATATATGTAGTTCAACTAAAAATTTATTCTAATGAAGTTTTGTGTTTGTACAGATGGTAGCATTCGTTCAAAGCACCATGATAAGAGCAGATCCTACTCCTACAAGTTGCAGCATTGACAATTCCAACTCTGAGGAGCCTTAGCTTTTAATTACAGTTTAGGCAACCTATTTTGGCCCCTACAAATCTTTCAATTTTATAACTGGAAAAGTCAGTCGTGGAGGCTATGTGGAAGCAAAGACATACAGGATTTGAATTACAAAAAGATGTATTAATGTCTGTATTTAATGTTATAGGTAAACTTTCATTTGGAGTCAACATTTCTGTATAGTAGGAGAGAATAGTAGGGATGAAAAAGATATGCAGATGCAGCCTATGGTTATATGATGTAGGAAAAGTAGTATTTGTAATTTTGTTTACAAATTTTAAGGAGGAAGAATATAAGATCTTCATTCTTTTGTTATTTTGTTAAATAAATACACGTTTTTAAGTTGTTAGATATGACATTAGCATGGTATTGGAGGCATGCAAAATACATTAGTTCAAGTCTTGCTGCATCCATTTATGAAAAACTGTGTATGTATCAGATATTTGACAAATATTGAATTTTGTGTGCCCGTGAGAGCATGTTGAAGACACGAATTAAGTAAATAAATATGATTCGTTTCTAAAAATTTAAATTTTTAGATGAAGTTGTTAATTATCTCACTATAAACTGTCAGCGAAACATCATCTTACAAAAGATTACTTGCAACCTAAATATTCATTATTACAGGCCGATCTTACTTTTCAAGTACCAACACACAAGAAGAAACACTGCACGAAATTGAACGCAATAACATTGTTGGAAATTACCCTTTTCTTACCAGGCTAAGTACCCGATAAGTGCAATTTGTACACTTATTTATGGCCCTAAATCATGATATTTAATTGTCTTTTGGATTAAATTCTACCTAATTTATGTTAAATTATATTTTGTAGGTAAAACTTTATATTAATGAAGAATTTGGGAAAAGAATGATGAAACTGAATAATATCTTCAATTTTGGGGATTAAAATCTACACTGTAAAAATTGAAGGACTAAATTGCATGAGTTCTAAAGATGAGATGAATTGGAGAAAAAATAAAGTTAAAGAGTTGGAATTGCAATTGGACTATCACGCCAATTATTACTTGGAATTAGAGTTCTAATTATACTAAAGTGGATTGATGGCTAAAGAATT